GAATCCAAGCCTTTTTTTTTTTTTTTTTTTAAAGAACTCTATCACTTAGTAACCACAGTTACAGAACCACACCGCTCTCAAGAGATCCTTTACACAATGCTCCTGAACTATTATTAAACTTTCAAGCTATAATTAATGGCTAAATTATGCTATTACAGAAGGTAGCAAATTAAGCTTGGATAATCTTACATCTTAACTGATTTTTAAAATGACTTCACTTTGATTTGTCCTTAGTCTAAATTCCAGTATACAACTGCCAACTAAAAGGTTTGAGGTACCCTGAAAGTCTTACGGTGACAGACAAGGCAGTCATGACAGCATTACTATGAAAAGATGCTAATTTACATTTTTCTAACTACACAGTAAAATACATTTCTCTACATTACTAGAGAACTGATCTCAGGGTTCAAAAAGTTGTTACTCTTTAAGTTTCAACTACTAAACTCTAAAGGCTTTACATGTTTTGTTTTTCCTAAGTGGCTAACATGAGGCTTTGGAAGGAGTATTTTTTAACCCTATTTTTTAAAGAAAATTAGGCTACCATCTTATACCAATAAAGATTATGGCATTTAAATATCAAGTTTCTTTATTAAATTACCTCTCAGTTCACATCAGAATAAATATTATTTTCCCAGGCAGTAAGTTACTTTAAGTTCTATTTACTCTGCCACCTCTACTATCTTCCAGCTCCATTTCTTCCTTTTCCTCCCTCAATCACTGACCCTGCAGGTCCTTCTTCCTGAACTGCCCACCCACTGAGCAGCAGCAGGGGGTTTTCAGACAGCTGAGGACATTCTTTCTTTCTCTCTCCACTCAATCTCAACAGCAAGGCAAACAGCAGAGCCTGGTCCTTCCTCTTGGACAGGAAAAACTTTGTGATTACAACTTGAAATGTTTCCTTGTGTGTGTATTTTTAATTTAACCAAAATTTAATGGCTAAATTATAAGCTTTACATTTTTAAAGGGAAATCACTTGGGTTATGCTAGGTATAGCAAAACCAGCATAGCTTACTCTTTATGAACTGTTATTATTTAAAACAGCGAGTATTATGGTAGTGTGCATTGTTTACAGTCTTTCACTGGGCAAGTGTTTGAGGGGGAAACATAAAATCAAAATTATGGTAAGAAATGGTGTGATTCATTTCCTTCAAGTGATACTGATGCACGGATGCATCAGGAATTTCAGGTGCTCAGGGTTCTTGAGCCTGCTCTGAGAATGAAAGCACAGACAGACTCTAACGGCAGAGGTTGGAGAAACGAGAAGAGAAAGACTGCCTATTGGAGAATGCAGGGGGATGCAATCCTGAGGTAGCTTTAATTAGGGCAGTGGAGCATTCATTTTTAAAATAACAGAAATAAAATCAAGCTACCTTATTTATAGCCATCAATTATATATGTAAGTAAGTACATTTAATGTTGGCATATGGCTGAATACTGTACAATGTAAAAGAAAATCTCTAAAAAAAAAAAAAAAAAACACTCTTTTTAACTATGGAAGAAGATACCCAATCTAACTTTTAGACAAATCACAGCTCCAAGAAACCCTGAATCTTCAAGGACAGATAACACTAAGTCCAGTTATTCCGAAAATGATAAATGGAAATAAAACAAAATTATCTTTCAAAAAGTTATTAGAACATTATTAAAACAATGCAAATCTATAAAGTAGTTAAGTCACTGGATCAGATTCCTTAAGTCAAATTACAGCTTCCTACGTGGTACACTATATACAAGAAGTTCTTTGTACATGGCAATAGTTACAAGGTATCAAAACTGAGAAGTAATAACAGTCCTTGTAACCAAAGATATTATAGAATACTAATTCAGGAAGTTATTCAGCAGCTTATAAAGAAATAGGAAGTTACTGACTAGCTACTTGAAGAACTATTTCCTGTAGAAAAACTTTAAGACAGCTGAAGAAGGCAGTAATTCTGGGCCATAAAGAGAATGAAGCCTTCTTAAATAAAAACTGCAGTTACTGGGTTGTAGAAATTAGTTTCAGACAGTAAGTTCCATAGAAAAAAATACTGGAAGCAGTATACAATGATGATGCCTTTGTTACCTAAACCAGTCTTTCCAGCCTTTGAGGAGTGCACTGGATAAATAGGCTAGCACCAGACTTCCACCCTATCAGCTGCCAAGATAAAGTGCGAGTCTTCTCCAGAAGATCTCACTGACCTAGGGCAGGCTCTAAATTACCAGTGATGGCTATAATCCTTCAATAATTGTGCTGCCTTGTAACTGGAGGATGAGCCAGTTGACTTGAAAACTCATTCATCTATGGTCACGAGGCAACAATTACTTGTTTCCAAAGTCAACATTTCCAAGTGTTCTCTCAAATTACATCACCTTGCATGTTCAGACCATTTATAGTCAAAGATCTTCATGCCAAGAATAAATCTCAATAAATGATATGCTTTGTAACTTAAAACTCAGTTCCAATGAATATCTGAAGAGATGTATAGTAACATCAGTTCTTCACTTCATACTGCTGAAATGAGTACCAAATTCATAACTAGTTTAAATCTGTCTTCTACATATAGCTGGCAACAAGAATCATCAAACACAAGAGAAAATACAGGCAATGATTGCAATGAGAAGCTGATTCTTAAACCACGAAACTAAGGTAAAATGAACACTGACAACACCAACTTACCACCAAAACTCATAGGCAGGATGGACATATTAATTTCATATTATCTGTTTAGAGCCCAAAAATAAGGGTTGTTTTTTTTTTTTTTTAATGAGAATACCTGGAGGTGAACAAATCTTATTTTGTGACATCTCTCCAAATTGCGTACTGTTCATGAGACAGATAACTCTTTAGAGGGACATGAAATGTTGTAAATGCACAGTGCTCATCTTCGATATCCAATGGATAGAGGTCCTCTATATAACCCCAAGGTTTACCTCTTAGAAAAGCATGATATGAAAAATATCTACAAAATCAAAACTCCTCATGTTTATCATACAATAAACCTAATCTTACTTTTAGATGAGGTTCCCTCAAAAACACTGGAAGAACAATTATGTCTTCTTTCCCTTCTTTCCAGGTCCCCCTCTCCCAGACTTTCTGCAGACTCTCTGGCCTAGTGTACCTTTCTATAGGCTTCCTGGAGCAAGGAGAGGAAGGATGAGTGAGGTGAGGGGATTGTGCATACCCTTTGTTAATTCATCTATGTATCAACCCCTTTAAAAGAAACATTTCTTCTCAAAGGAAGAACCAAGGAAACTTTTAGAAACAAGTATCTATAATGTTTATTTCAGATTAAAAAAAAAAATCACTCATTCAAAATAATGAAAATGTAGGCAGATGTCACCTACAAGCAATTATAGTAAGATACAAAAGACTAAAAAGTACAAAAATGTTGCTCTTTAACCTTAAGCTTTAGTCCCAGCAGCCACCAAAGAAAGAAGGCAAGCTTGCTATTAAGCTGTTTAAAAATCTCCCCAGGTCAGCATATGACCCAGCGGGGAGAGGATCAAAAAGGTCCCGCCTTTCTTTTCCCTCCTGACAACCTGGTTTGTTTCCACTCCTTTCCCTCCAAGACATAGCCCTCACAGCTAGCAGCTTTCAATCCTTTACTCTGGACGTCTGCTTGAGAACAAATGACCTGGCTCATGCAGATGAGTTTGCTAAACTTGTGTGTACTTTCCAGTCTCTGGCCCTTTATTGTTCTGTTAGAAACCTGACCCTTTGAAATGGATACCAGGACACCAGAAAACAATTTTTAAAAAGAAAAAAATTGGAAGAAAAGAAGCAAAAACCTGTTGAAACTTCCCAAGATCAAGCCTTTCCCTCTGCTCTTCTAAACAAGTCTGTCATAGATCTCTCTGCCTTATGTTACAAAGTAGCAACCCCAACCAGAGAGTGGGTCAAATATAAATAACACATAACATACTACCCAAACAGAAAAAAGGATATACTACAAAACAATGTCACTAACTGTATTATCCAATCTAACAAATAAATGTTAATTTGCCACAGTAGACTGTCAAGACAAATCTCAATCAAAATGAGGGCTGTTTTTCACTGTTTTCTCAACCTGATTAAATAGTTTAAAAGGAAAATTTTTAATAATTTCAGTCTATGACAATTAGTTTTTGGCAAAATTTTCTGTACACTTGATCCAAATAAACCAGATAAAATTAAAGCCTTACCTATAATTTCAGACTAAGTATTTCCAGATAAATGCAATGGGATTTTTTCCATTTTACTAAAGGCAGAAGGGCTGGTAAAAATAAATAACTCAAGGGCCTTGTTTTTGTTTTCCCCAATAAGAGATTCTGTTTTGAAGACCCTGTAGCTTGAAAGAAATTTGCCAAGGAGTGTGGATGCCTAAAAATTCTTATCACTCTTTACATTTTGGGGGAGAAAAAAATGACAAATCACATCATACTGTGGCCAAATTACTATCATCTCACAGTCTAAAATACAGCAAAATTAGACTCTCCTCAAAAACGTGCGACTTGCTTTATAATTCTTCTCTAACCAGCAAATACTTATTTAAAGATACACTGGGGCTGGAGGTGCAGCTCAGTGGTCCAGAGGGTGCTTAGCATGCAAGGCTAGTTTCAGTTCCCAGCCACGCCAAAAAAATAAAAAGAAGTAAATTATAAACAAAAGCACCATGTATTTCATACAACTATGCTGGTCTTACAACTCTCAGAATTTGAAATTTTTCATAAGATTCTGTTTTGTACCAGGCTAATTAATAGCTTTGGCACAAACTCAAAATAAAATTATTCAAATTGCCAAAGAAGAAAAGATTGTAAAAAGCCTCTGACCCAAGAATCAAGCAAACTTTCCAAATATTACCCACGCTAAACAAGTTATTTAAGCATGATGCCAAACGTGGAAAAAAACGTTATGGAAGACAGCTGAGTGTGACATAAACGTTAACTGAAATATAAAGACAGAGAAGTGTACATCCTGACACACTCACTGTGCTTTCCAAAACATCCTCAGGTGACTGGCTCCCACAGTGACTGTCACTTACTTTAAGAAGTATCTCTGACCAGAAGAAGTCTTGGCCATCTCCCAGCCTGCTGGCAGAGGCACGTCGTCAGGGATCTCAAAAGATGGCTGGCGAAGATGCTGGGCGGTAGGGGTAGCCGCAGGGCCAGAGACGCCTCCAGCCGGGGTCAGAGTCCCCGGAGAAACAGCGCCCAGCTGAAGGGACGCTGGGGACGAATGAGCTCGAACATGCTGTGGAGTCAGAGCTCCCGCAGTGCCGGCATCTGTACTGGCCTAGTAGGAATAGTAAAATGAAAAAATTACAAACCACATAAAACAGGCACCCTAAGAGTCTCAAGTTTCCTATTTCATCAAAACCAAATAACTAAATGATAAATGCGAACTTCAACATTTAGTATTTGACACTGAGGAACTCAGGTTTTCAGATGGATACTTTTAAATTATGTCATTTTGATAGGCACTATAAGCACTAATGGTGAGCAGTCCATCTAAATAAGTTTCTATCTACTAGACACACTTCCAATCCTTTAGAAACAGCTAGTAGATAAAGTTCCTAAAACAGGAACTACTGGATTTTAAAATCTACTTTTTGAAAGATCAAGACAGAGGCTAGGACAGCTCAGTGGTAGAGCGCATAACCAGGTGAGAGGCCCTGGGTTCAGCACCCAGCACCAAAATAGTCAAAGCAATATGAATGCTTTTCAAAGTTCTAAAGTGTTCCAGGTATAAACACAACCCAACGAGTTACTAGGCATTTTTTCACTTGCTTTTAGTTAATGCTTTTTCTAGGCCAAGCCCTGGATAAAACAAGCCCTTGTCATTTTTACACTATGAACAAATGCCATCAATAAATCAGTCATCACAAGTTATACAACATTTAATGAACTCAAACGACTCAGAACTGCCCAAATGTTCTTAAAAGCCACCTAATAAATGGAAAGAGAAGCCAACCCTCTTTGTACTTGGAAGATGAAGATGTTATCAGTTCAATTACCATATAACTTCAGAACTCACACATACTTACAACTAGGCAACTGTCCTTGGCTCCCAAAGATCAGAGTTCCAGTCCAAGAGGGGTAGTTTGACACTGAACGAGTGTCACAACCTCCGTGAACCTCAGTTTTTGGTTTTATAAATACGCTTTTTTCAGAAATGATGAAAAATGGAGACATACAAGAATTTACAGTCAACAGTGTGTGACAATAGTATTTTACAATTCAGATTTACACTATTCATAATCTAATATAGCTTTTTAAATGCCTTTATTAGAATTAGGGTTTATCAAAAAACTTAGAACTTTGTAGATAGGCGAGAAAAGGAAACTGAATCAGCAGCCATAAGCCAAGTCATATTCATTTCTGAGTTTCCAATCGGACTAAATTTGAATGAGAAAATCATTAGCAGAAATAAAAGTTACATTTTCGGATGCACATGAAAAAGCACGGAAAAGCAAAACGATAGTGACTTAGGAAGCATATATCTACATCCTACTGGATGTAAGCTCTTGTGCAAGCAGGTACTACAAATGAAGTACACTTTTCTGTTGGGATTCCTTTTGGCTTCCAGATGCCACAAAATGGGAGTTCAATCTCCTTCCTCTGCATATACAGTAACGCGTAGCACGGAGGGGTAGGCTGTGGACCGCATGCCAACACAGTTACTCCAGAAACCCACTTCCAGGGCTAAGAGGAAAAAGCACAGCAAGTCTACTTCTTACAGACCGAAGTGTGTAGGCAAGCGGTTCGATAGTTTTTCCCTTCCTCTTCCTTAGGCCGAGTTTTTCTCACCAGGTTAAGGGAGCTTTAACCAAAACCCCTTGGTGTGCAGCAGGCCCGCAGAGAGGCGGGAGAAGGGGAGGAGGGGCGGCAACTCTCCCTTCCACTCAAGTTACAGCCCGAGTGGGCTAGCTCCACTGCAGGATTTGGGAAACCTATTAACTTCTGGGCAAAGTTCCTATGCTGGTTTAGCCTGAAGCAAGTTCCTAAAAAAATAAAAAGAAAAAAGGAGGAGAAAGAAAAAGGAAAACCCTGCCCTAAAGAAATCTACCAGGACCCATCGGAATGTTACTACTTTCACACAGTTTCTTTCTCTTCGAAGCTGGAGGAGCTGGCAAACCAATCGAATCGTGTGTGATCAAGCAGCCATGTTCGTGCCCTCGGTAAGTTAAAGCGCAATGGCGATCGTGGACTTAGTCATCGCTTCCCAAACATTAACTTTTAATCACAGTTGACCCCGGCAGGACTCGTCCAGTGAGTCAACCTGCAGAGCGTTATCAAAAGCTTGGGTGAAAACCTGGGGACTGTAAAGAGCCACTCCGGTCCTGCGCGGCGCACAGATGTGGCCACTTTAAAGGCATTTACGCAGACTGCAAATAATAGCGCACAAGTGGGAAGGCAGCACGTGAAGCGACGAGGCTGGAAGAGCGAGCCCGGGCTCCGAGGGAGGGGAAAGGGGAGGGGAGGAGGGGGGAGAAGTCCATAAACAACTTCCAGGAAAGTCTGGGCCGGGGAAGCCCGGGTCCCGCGTTCAGAAAGCGCCGGAGCGGCGAGCGAAATTAATGCTCTCGGGAGGGAGAGGGGAGAGGGGAGAGGGGAGAAAGGGAGAGGGGGGAGGGGACGGGGAGAAGGAGCCAGAAACTAAATGGACCGGTTCAACCCCCACCCCTAATCAACACTGAAAAACAGAGAACAATTATTTGGCTCCCCAGGAGGCTCAAGTGGCCCGAGAGGCCCCGAAGGCAAAGGGGGCCCAGGGCTCCCCGGGCGCACCCGGCCGCGGCTGGCAGCTCACCCCCACACACATGCCAGAGGCCCCCCTCCCCCTCCGCGGCCCGGCGGGGCCCGGCACGGCCGGCGGGAGCCGAGGTGCGGAGCGCGCGGAGGCGCGCGCATTGTGCAAGCCCCCCGCGGCGGCCGCCGGCCCTCCCCACCCCCTTCCTTCCTCCAGTCCCGCCAAGCTCCCGGGAGCCCCGGGAGGAAAGAAAAGGAAGAGGGGCCGGGGTGGGGGCAGGGCGCCCCCGGGGCCTGACCGCAGAGCAACTCCACCGGGAAAACAAATCTCGGCTCCGGACTCCGGGAGGAGCGCCCGACGGGGGCGCGGGGAGGGCGGCCAGGTTACCTGTCGGGAGTGGGACTTGGGCTCCGGCGGCTTGAAGAAGGAGTCGGGCAGCTTGCGGAGCCTCATGGGCACGGTCTGGGGCACGTTGGCCGTCTTGGGGTTCATGACGGCGTTGAAGAGCGCCTCCAGGTCGGTCTCCGAGTCCCCCCGGACGTGCACGATCTGGTGGCCCGCGGGGGGGGCCTGCGGCGCCGCCTGGGCCGCCGGGGGTGCCGGCTGCCCCGGCCCGGACGGGGGACCCTGGGCCTGGGGGGTCTGTGCGGGCGGCTGCCCGGGGCCCTGCGGGGCCGGCTGGGGCGGCGGCTGCTGCCCGGGATCCATGGCTTCGGACTCCCCCGACGCGCACCCCCTGGCCAGGCGGGCGAGGGCTCCGCCCGGGTCGGGTCGGCACGGCCGGGACGGGACGGGACGGGACGCGAGAGGCGGCGCTGGGCGGCGGGGCGGCGGCGGCGCGGTGCTCGCTTTCAGGGCCGGGGGGCTGCGCCGCGGCCCGCATCCCCGCCCCGCGCCTCCGCCCCCGCCCTGCGCCCCGCGCCCCGGCGCCGCTGGTCCCGCGGCTGCGCCTCGGGAGGGGCGGCCCGGAACCCCGACCCTCAAGGCCCCGCGAGCGCGGCCGGGCAGCTCGTGGCCTCTCCCCTCCCCCTCCCTCCTATTTCCTTTCCTTGTTCCTTCCTCCTCCCTTTCTTTAACCCCCGGCGGCGGCTGCGCCCGACTGAGAAAGAAACTCTCCGGACGCCAAAGCTGAAGTTGAGAGACGCGCCCGCCCGCCCGACCGCGCGGCTCCGCCTCCTCGCGGCTCTTCCTTCCTCTGCGCGCCCGCCCGCACCGGGGCCGCGCGCCCGGCAAACTTTCCCTGCGAGCTGCTGCATTCCTGCAGACGGCCGCGCACGTGACCTCGCGCGCGCGGGACGCGGGACCTCGGTCCCAGCCCTGCCCCGGGCGGAGAGCGCGCGGCCCCGCACCGAGTCCGCTCCCGAAGGGCCGAGGCCCAAAGCCGTGGAGCCTGCGGTACCGAGAGCAGCGGGAGTTAAAAGTAGGTGCCATGCCCCAGCACTGATTTTAAGAAGGTCCGTCCGTGTTGCAGCATTTACTTGATTTTGCGGTCCCTTTTTTTTTCGCCTACCTCTTAGTAGGCCGCGAAATCACTTGAAAGGGATAAATGATCATGGAAGTTGAAGCTGTGTCTGTGACACAGTGTATCTTCCTAAAACAGACACGTTACTTTTTTTTTTTTTAAGTGGAAATCACATAAACTGTTTTTGTACCGAAACTTGCAACGTGGAAGCCTCTAGCAAAAAAAAAAAAAAGTGTGTAACTTCACATACGAGCTTACTCCTGTACTTACCGAGTTATCCCTGCGCCTGGCACAAGGATGGACTCCATGAATGTGGTGGGCAAAGTAAGACATGAGTGGCCAGGCCACCCTAAGCACCTGATTCTCCGTCTGGCAGTGTCGTAAATACAAGGAGTCCATTTGCAAACACTCAAAAACAATGAAAATTGTATTTTTGTACAAAGTCATAATCTTTTTTTAACAGCTTTATGGAGATTTAATAAAGCTCTTTGGACATGTATGGACATACCATACAGTGTGTCCATTTGAACAGTTCGATGTTTTTAAGTATATTCGCAGGGTTGTGTAACAACACTGACTTTTTTTTTTTTTTTTTTAAGGCAGGGTCTCACTGCCTCACTGCCTAGGTTGGCCTCAAACTTGCTCTGTACCCTAACTGGCCTCTTACCTCAGCCTTCTCAGTGCTGGAATTACAGGTGAACACTGCTAGTAAATCCACTAGCCTTTTCTAAAGAAATCTGGCTTCTCGTTTTAATGATTTTGTCAGCGATGCTGGTGAAACAGGTATAAATAGGATTAAGCAAAGGAAGGGCCCCTGAGCAAAAAGATAATCTCCTCCTCCAGCCTGGACATGCCCAGGAGAGTTCTGAGAGAAGTGTGTATCGTTTGCTGTGCTAGGGCTGGGCCAGCCGGCTTAAGACAGGCAAGATCTCCATCCACTGCCTTGGACCCCCAGTCTCCTGTCTGAAGAAAGGAAGGGTGTACAAGGCTCCCAAATATCAAGTGCCTTTAATCACAAACTTTTCCATTCTGGAGTTAGAGTTTTGAGTTCAGGTCCTAGTTCCACCAGGTACTAGCTGTGACACATTGGACCTGTTTTCTGCTCTTTATATTGGCGTCAGAGATAGTAACACCTACCTCATGTGTTGTGCATTAAATGAGTCAAGGGACCAGTTTTTGACATACAGTGAGTTCTCAATAAATGTCAGCTATTATCATTGTCCCATGTTTACAGATTACCTCACAATTGGTGACACAGCCTCTCCTTTGCAGTGGTTTCTTCCACGCACAGCCTCAGAACCCTGTGGGCGCCTCCTCTTCAATCCAGTAATCAATCCACAAACAAAACCTTTGGGCAAAAACTTTGCATTAAAAACTTCAGCCAAAAGAAAACTTCAAGAACTGAAGCAACTGAAACCCTGAGATGGAATGGAAGCCGCCCCTTAAGTGGAGCAGTTACGACCGTGGACGCTGTAATTAAAGGACTTAGATCCAGCAGAGGGTGCTTTGTTCAATATTGTTTCACCTGCTATTAAATTGAGAACAAAATTACTTTGATAAGTAGATTGAAAGGCTTTTTGGAGTGATTTTATGTTTTGTAAGTACCTCTGTATCGTCAACCAAGATTCTGTAACTTACCATTCCTCATCTATAAAATTTCAATCACAGGTTAGTGAAGGATGAGGGCGAGGTATATTCGATACTGTGTCCTATTCCTCTCTCCCCTGCTCCCTTTTGGAGTAATTACTACTTTAAGGCTCCTTGAGAGGGGAAGACACCTTCACACAAAGATCTGCCACTGTCCTGGATGGCTGTCAATGTGTATCTCAAAACACTAGTCTTGGAATTATGTGACTCCTCACCTGCATCTCTACTTCACGTTAGTCACCTGCGCCTGTGTCTTTACCCCGCCATCATCCAGAAAGACTCCAGTTGTGAAATCACGCTGCGTTATGCTATTTTCCTAATGGCCATTTGGTTCTGTCGCTTTATTACTTCATTTATCCTTAACTTCTCCCTTTTGTACAATCTTGTCACTTCCTCCTCTCATCTTGCGATGGTTTGAAAGTTTGTGTCCGTCCAAGTTTCATGTTGAAACTTAGTCTCTAATGCATTCGAATTCAGAGGTGGGGCCTTGAGGAGGCAGTTAGGTCATGAGGGATTCTCCCTCTTCAATAGGATCGAGGTCTTTATGAAAGAGATGTCACACAATGTTTAACCCTTCTGCCCTTCCACCATGTGAGGACACAGCCTTCTCCCCCTAGAAGATGAGGCAACAAGGCGCCATCTTGGAAGCAAGAACGTAGCCCTCACCAGTCACCAACCCTCTCTGCACCTTGATCTTGAGCTTCCCAGCCTCCAGAACTGTGAGAAATAAATTCCTGTCACTTACAAATTACCCAGTCTGTGGTGTTTTGTCATAGTAGCACAAGTGGACTAAGACAACTCTTTCTAATTCTGTTTGGAAGTCACAGTCCATTGCTTAAAACTCTCACAAGGGCTGGAGTGTAAACGCCACGTAAATGGTAGCGTGTACGCCTCCCAAGCACAAAGCCCAGAGCACAAACCCCAGTGCAGCCAAAAACAAAACAAAACAACAACAAACCCAAACTCTCACAATCATCTGTGTCCTCCATTCCATTGCCTGTGTATTTTAATTAACTGGATCTTATTAAACTAGCTCAGTCCAGTTGTCTATCTTTTCCACTCCAACACCTGAGGCACATTGAGTGCAGACCCTGCAGCCATTAAAAACTTCGATATAATGTTTGGCCTTCTGTCCAGCTGAGGTTATACTACCATCCCAGAGATATGCACCCACTGTATGATTACAAGAAGACACAGTACCACTTTAAACTTTGTCCCATTACCAAGTAACACTATCAGTAATACAGTATGAATTAATACTTTAATAAATTCTGTACTTATCTGGTGACCAGCACAATTATTTTGCCTTGTGATTATCGTGTTGACAGTATTGATTTGCTGAGTGTAAACATTTGGAAAACAACCTGGTTTGGCAGCCCTCTCTTGACATTCTGGCACGCCCGAACACACTGAAAAGAAGTATAACCCTTTCCCAGCCTCTGGGAAACCTGCTGACACCCTGGGTTCTGGGGACAACTGGAGGGACTGTCACATGTAAACAGATGCTGCCCTGCACATTCCACATTTACAGTATTCACTCATGCCGCCTTGCATCTGTCGTGAGCCTCATCTCAGCTCCTTCTCATAGTTACTCTTTTTCCCAAACCAATTATCTCCAACTGCTCAAAATATGAAGGCCATCATGGGCCAAAGCCCTGGACGTCTTCTGAACTTCCAGAAACATGTCACCATCCTCACACACCCTTCCCTCCACAGGGATGTATTTGGAAAAAGCTGTCCAGGTGCCTGCTTTTTACTTCACCTTTTGTCATTCCTCTTTCAACTTAACACACCTAAAATTGAATTACTCCTGCCCTCATCAAATACCAACCACACACACACCCTCCCAAGCCACATCCTTTTTCTGATTCACCATCTCAGTTAATGACATCACAATCCATCCACTTGTTCAAGCCAGAAAACCGGGTGTTCTCTGAATCACACCCCTCTTGTCATCACTTCATTCAACCAGTTCCTGATGTGTATAAATTTTCCTTCGGATTTCTGGTAGTCACCACCCAACCCCATGTCTCTTTCTACTTCATTTCCCATCACATTTTTGCAGTACCTTCAGAGTCATATTCCCAATTCTAGTTTTACCTGGCTCCAGCAGGCCAGGTAAGTGATCTTTTCCAACATGCATGTCTCATTGTGGGATGGTGCCACTCGGGACAAAATCAGCCTCTATGTGACATAAAAGCCTTCAACCACTCCAGCTATCCAGTCCTTGCTTCTCTCCTCAACCTATCTCTTGCCACTCACTTAGGTGTCTTCTCTTCTCTTCTCTCTCTTTTCTTTCGAGACAGGGTCTCTCTGTAGCCCAGACTGGCCTCAAGCTGGTGATCCTCCAGCCGTGGCTTCTGGAATGCTGGGATTACAGAAATACTCCCATGCTTAGCTATGTGTTCTGTTTTCCAGACATGCTGCATCACTTTTGGCTCCTCAAATGAGCTCTCTTCCCTCTCCCCCTGTTGCCTCTGCTGATGTTTGGAACTCGCTTACCCATCTTTCACCTGCTTTCCCTTGATCCTCAAACTTCAGGACTTAACCTCTGACAGGAAGTCCTCCTTGGCTGCTAATTTCTCATAGGTTCCCTACCCCACACTAGGGAAGAGGCTTCACCTCAGGGCCCTAATAGAATCTGGACACTGCCTCCCTCGTGGTATTTGCTAGAGTGTGCTGTATTGTTTATACATGTGTCTGTGTCCCAAATACCCTCTGACTGCTTCATGAACAGTATCTTCCATCTCTACAACCCTGTGCCCAGTAACACTTAACAAAGAACAGGTGCTAGCCAGTAGCTGGTGGCTCACATCTGTAATCCTAGCTGCTTGGGAAGCTGAGATCAGGAGGAGCAAGGTTTGAGTCCAGCCTGGGCAAATAGTTCCCAAGACTCCATCCCAAAATAGCCAGAGCAAAACGGACTGGAGGTGTGACTCAAACAGTAGAGTGCCTGCTTTGCAAGCACAAAGCCCTGAGTTCAAACCCCAGTCCCACCAAAAAAAAAAAAAAAAAAAAGGATAAAAAGGAGGAGGAAGGGAAGAAGAAGGAGGAGGAGGAGGAGAAAACAGGTGCTCAATAAATGCAGAAAAATAGAAGACAGAGGTAAAGAGAGAGTCCAGAGCCCAAGAGTAAAATTATGGCTTAGAATCTCACACACACTACTGGCTTCTGTGATTCCAATTTTGAAACTTCCATCTCCATAGACTGGACAGATGTGTGTCACATACCTGCAAGACTTCATGACACTTGCTAAATCTGCATTTTGCCTGCATTTTCAATTTTTTTTTCAATGTTAGGGATTG